TTTTTGGTACCAGGGATTGAACTCGGGACCTTGCGCTTGTGAGTCAGGCACTGGAACCACTGAGCTAAATCCCCGGCCCTTGATTTCTTTTTTGAGGGTCTTGTGCTCTGTTTTCAGAAGCACATTGCGGATTACTTCAGGAGGCTCCAACGTATCAACATTACTGATCTAGTTTATTTCTGCCTTTCATCCAGTGACTGGTGTTCCTTGGAAACTGACTTTTTTCTTCATGTTACCAAATTCAGTATCACTTTTTCTTTTTCCATTCCCTTTTGGGTAGCTTTCTTTCTGTTTCTTTTTTCCTTCCTTTTTTTTTTTGAGAGAGTCTCATTATGTAGTCCACACCAGGCTTGAACTCACTCTGTAGCCCATGCTGGCCTGAAAATCATGGCCATCCTCCTGCCTCTGCCACCCGAGTGCTGGGACCATGCCCACCCCTGTTTTCTTTCTTTTAAATGGTAGCAAAGTTTTATTAAAGATAGGAAAAGGAACAGGTTCTGCAGAGTGAGTTTGGGCCAAGTAAAAGTAGGGAATACCCTATATCCTTTATCTCCCATTTTCTTCCCCTCTCTTCTACCCTTTCTCCACCCGCACTCCCTTTCCACTTCACCCCCGTGCGTGGGACCTGGGCGGCCGACGCGGTGACCTCGACCCTGGGGACGGGTAAGTGACGGGGACCCAGGGCGGCCCGCGGCTGCGGTCTGCAGGATCTCAGGTCCCGCTCCGGCCCCCAGCCCCACGGGCGCCGGGTCTGCGCGTCCGCGCCCGCAGAGGCCCTGCCCGCGGTGGAACCCCAAGCCCCCGCGGCTCGCCCTCCTCCGGCGCCCGTGAGCCCCGCGGGGCTGCTTTTCCGTCCAGCAGCTGCCGCCATCTCTGAGCAGAGCCCGGTGCGGGCACCTCAGCGCCTAAAGCGTTTCCGGGGGCCCGGCCAGCCCAGGTGCGCAGGCGGCGTCCCGCGCGCTTTCGGTTTCTCCAGCTCCGCAGCGGCGCCGCCGTCTGGGGAGGAAGCGCCCTGCGCGTGGTCAGTCCGAGGCCGAGAGCGGAGGGAGGGAGAGCGGTCCGTGGGTCCGAGGAGACGCTGCGTGCGGTGGGCAGTGCGGAGAGGGCTGCGGCCAGGAAAGAGCCCCGGCAGAGCCCAGCACTGCGGCCGCTCTGAGGCGCCCCCTCGCGGCCACCTCTGGCTGCGCGGTGCGGAGCCCGGCTGGAGCCCTCGCCGCCTGGGGCCCTCGGGGAACCGGCTGCGGACCTGGCTGGAGCGGCGCTCCCGGAGTCCCGGAGGAAGCGCTCGGGCGGCCGGAAAGCGGGCTGAGACCGCAGCTGGAGCCCGGACCCTCCAGCGCTAAGCAAACCATCGCGGTCCAAATGACGACTAAAATGCGTGGACGGCTAAGGACATGTCAAACTGTGATGCATACTGTGACTCGCGGGACTCGGGGATCACTAGTAGGAGAGGTGCAGTTCCCCTGAAAAAGGCCCTTGAAGAGGAGACAGATGAACGGACGCAGTTCCGGACCCTGGTGGTGCCTGGGCCACAGGGGTGACAGACAGGGCCGGGTTGGCGGCGGCCCGCCGCAGGGTCAGGGGTCCACACCGCGCTCCCGTGGCCCCGAAATGTGCCCACGTGTTGGCGCCCTCGGGAGCCGCAGAGCCCTAGGTTTCCCTGTCCAGTGGACTTGGGCGGTGAGCTGGCCCGGGGGAAGCCGGGCTGGTGGAGTCCCTGCTGGTTCTCTCAGCAGCCGGTCTAGGATGGCGACTCCAGGTGCCAAGGCCAGATGTGTGTCGGGAGGAGGCGGAGCTTTCAGGGAAGTGCTGCTGTTGCTGTGGTTCCTATGGTGGTTTAATTCCTAAACCTTCAAGCACCCATTTTTCAAAAAGTAGGAAGTACTGAGGGAAAGAGCTTCCAAGAGAGACACAATTTCTTTTTACTCCTAATTACTTAATTCTTCAGTATTGTTCAGTGGAATACGGAAGTGCTGCACTCCCCTGTCATCTCTGATTCACCACCAAACCATTTATTCAGATGTAGTTTGTATTGAATGGCTGTTTAACAAAAGAGTGTGGGAGGAAATCTGGATCTAGGCTTCCTGAAGATCAGTATCAAGGCACTTTGAAAAATGGCTTACAGCTAGCATTGAAGTTTCCTTAGCAACTCAGTTTTCCTGGATAAAATCTAAATACAAATAATTATACTTGCTGTGGTTAAACAAGGTCATTAGCTGGAGAGTAGGCACAGGATTTCTACAATCTTACCGTAGCGAGGTACCATGCCTCCATAAGCTGGTGTATCGGTGACATCACAGCCTCTTGAACTTCCTCAGAGGAAAATACTTCCTAGAAAATAACTTTTCTTTTTTGGAAAAAACAATCAGTATTTGCCTTGGTAGCCAATCACTTTCAGTGTCAGAATTTTGATTTTCAGATACTCAATGTGAATAGCTATCAGCAGTTACCAACAGTAGCTTTTCTCCGTGACTTGTGGGAGATTAACTATATAAAGATTGGTTTAAAATGGCATAATAGGGCCGGGAGTTTGGCTCAGTGGTTCTGCCACCTGCTTTCTGAGTGCAGGGTCCTGAGTTTGATCCCCGGTACCAAATAAATAAATAAAATAAAATGGCATAATAACTAATCAAAGTAGCAGCAAGAGCTATTTTTTTTTTCCAGCATAACAAATTTCATTAGACAGTTTGCTGTTATAGCAGCATCAACAAGCACCATATGAGCTGAGATTATGGACTTAATTCCTGAACATAGTACAGGCAAATTCTAATGACTTTCACAGCAAATATCTCCAAAAACAATTTTTTTCTGCCATACCTGAGGCCAGCCTTAAACAATTTCTGACATATGCTACATAGAGAATTTAGAGGTCCCATTTGACAGGTATTCCCCTGCTCAGTATCTTCCCAAAATAATTAAAAGAATCATACTACAGCGATATATGTGCACCCGTGTTTTGTTTGGGTTTTTTTGGTACCAGGGATCGAACTCGGAACCTTGCGCTTGCGAGGCAGGCACCAGAACCACTGAGCTAAATATCTGACCCATGTGCACCCATGTTTATAGCGGCACAGTTTGTAACAGTGAAAGCTTAGAAACAGCCCAAGTGCCCAACAACTGGAGACTGGACAAAGAAGATGTGGGGTTTTTTCTTATAAAATGGAGTACTACTCAGCCATCAAGAATAAGAAACTAGAGACATATATAGCTAAATGGATGCATATGGAGGCCATATGCTTAAGTGAAATAAATAGGACACACACGTGTAAATACCGAATAGTTTCTCTAGTGTGAGAAACTGAAAGTGTAAACAAGGGTTAAAATGATTAAAATGAATAATTGATAATTTGAAATAGGAAGAAAAGGTCCAAAGGTGTAGGGGTGGTGGGAGGGGAAGGGGAAAGGAAAGAAGGGAACAGAAAAAATTATAAGAAAAGGAAAAACTGGAAACAAAGTCTATGTAAATAGGGAAGGGTGGAGGGGTGACGGGCGCACAGGTAATGGGGGAAAATAAGAACCAAGATTCATCATGTTCAGGTACAAGCACCCAGGGATAAATGTAAAGGTATTGTATACCAAAAATGTACCAATAAAAGAACTTAAGGGAAAAAAAAGAATTTAAAGCTGTTTTACTTAGTTCAGTACTGAGTAGCTCCATTTTCTAAGATAGAAAGATAAAATTCCCAGACCCAGCACTGAGGTGTACAGTTCGGGACCACCTGCACCACAGGATGAGGCAGTGTTCTCATAAAGCAGCCCCAAACATCTCCACTGATTCCGTACCTGATTACTGAGCTCTGTTCCACATAGTAAGATGATTTGCCGACACCTAACTCTCCTCAGAACTCTCCGCAGATATTTACTGCGGGAGTCGCCGTGTCCTCCTCACGTGTATAACGCGCTCCCAACGAGATGCTGTGCATTTAAAGCAGCCCTTTATCAGGAACACAGCTCTCTGGCCCTGGTGGAGATTTATCTCTAAACGAGCTTTAGACCCGATTCTCCTAGGGTCAGAGACACCTAACTTTCACAAAGACTCAGAACAGGTCTTCGGTACGGAGAGGCTTAGGGTTGAGCTCCGGAGAGAATCTGCGGGCGTCGCCCTCCTGGCCTCCTTCAAGGGCCTCCTGCGCCGGCGACGCTGTCTCCCCTTCGGTGTCGCCATCCCCAGCCTCGGTTCCGCGCCCCCCGCAGCCCTGCAGACTCGGGACCCAGGCCAGGAGGACGGAGGGAAGTCTCCGAGGCAGGCGCCGCACCCGCCTCCTCCCGAGTTCCTCTCTCTGAGCCCGGGCAGAGCCTCTGCAGCCTTACGGAGGCGCCGCGAGCAAAGCGCTGCAGCTCTGTGAGGAGCTGTTTTTATTTTTATTTATTTATTTTTTGGAACCAGGGATCGAACTCGGGACCTTGCGGGGTTTTTTTGGTGGTTTTTTTTTTTTTTTTTGGTACCGGGGATTGAACTCGGGTCCTTGCGCTTGCGCAACGGGCGGCGAAACCACTGAGCTAAATCCCCGGCCCAAGTAGAACCTTTATTGGTAGTACCTTTTAAAGTGTGCAATTCAATTTTTTTTAGCATAATGGATGCAGAGGTGTGACAGGAGGCAGGCAGAGAGGTGCCGCTTAACCGGTTTAACCGGTGGCTCGTGTTGAGAGGGGTTTAGGCGGTCGGGAGTTTGCTTTCCCTGCAGCCCAGGGGAGACGCAATAGCAGTAGAGGACGGGGTGTGGGGCCCAGGCTGTGGCAGCTGTGGCTCTGGAGGGAGCGCGGAGGCGTCCTGTGTGCGCTCTGCAGAAGGGGCGGCTGCGGGCAGCCTGGGCCGAGGCAGCAGTGGACGGCACAGCGTGCAGGAAGAGCTGTGCTCCGCTCTGGGTGAAGGTAGATGCGGCCTGGCAGCCAGTGTGGGACTGAGAGGGTGCAGGAGCGGAGGGAGCCCCGAGAGGCGGGAGAGGCTGAGGGAGAGGGGCCCAAGACGGTGGCGCTGCCCGGAGATCTGAGGGCGGGGAGCCTGAGTGCGTCAGTGTGTGAGTGTGCGTGCAGGGCCCTGCAGACCTGTGGACTTGAGAGGCCGATGGGCCGAGCTGCACTGCCCTAAGGTCGGGTGCAGAGGCCGTGCGGAGGTGATGGGGCGGCCCCTGAAGGGAGCTGTGGCCTGGAAGGACTCGTGCGCTGCCCAAGCTCAGGCTGTGCAGGCAGGGGCCGCGGGAGGAGCTTGCGCCTCGGAGACTCGGAGTCCGACCGCTCAGCCGTGGGCCCTGCGGGGCTGCGCTGCAGAGGCGCTGCCGGCTGAGGCCGGCGCGCCGGTCCGGGCATCTGGGCAGCGGGGACCGGGCAGCGAGGCCGTGGTCGTCCGGAGGCCTCATGGCTCCGCCGCGTGTCCGGAAGGAGAGAGGGCCTGGCGGGACCTCGGGCGACCCACGGTCCCCGTGTGCTGGACGGGGTGGTGCGGATCCAAGGAGGACGGGGCGCCAGCTGCTCGGACTCCGCCCCCAGTGCCTGGTGCGCACCCCGGTGGGCCCTCGAACGGGAACAGCGCCGCTCCGCAGCATGTGCGCCCGGAGTCCGCTGCTCCTGGAGAGGCAACACCCTGGACAGCTCTGCCAAGTAGGCCGAGTCTCCGCGTCCCAGCAGGGCGCCGCAGCCACCCGGTCCCAGCGAAGTCGCCGCGCCGCCTTCTGCTCCTGGCCGTGGTCGCGCTCTGCCCCCTGGGTGTCGCCGCTGGTGAGTGGGTCCCCGCGGTCCGTGAGGGGCGCGTGCGGGGCGATGCCCGGCCGGGCGGGGCGTGCGGGGTGGCCCCGCGGTCACTGCCTCGCTCCGCTTCTCCGCCCCGCGTCCGACCCCGCGCCACGCTCTCCCGCCGCCCCCGCCGCTGCTCCCCGCTTCGCTCTCCTTTTCCGACGTCTTCGTCGTTCCGACGACCCGCGGTGCCCGGGTCCCTCGGCTGCCCCTCTGAACGACACTCGTGACACCGAGGTCTCCCGCGCAGGCGCAGCCCACAGTGGGGAGCACAGGGCCTGGGCCCGGGGTCGCGGCGCGTTCTCGGCTCAGCTCCCTGGGCCACCGGCTGCTTGTCTACTTTGTAATCCCGTGGCTCTGGGGCGGGGTGGGCCCGCTTGGTGTCAGGCGACGACGAGCAGAAGTGTCAGTGTTCGTCCTGGCCTAGGCCCACACCTCCGTCCGCTCCGGAGCCTAGGCTGAATCATCACTGCAGGTTGGGCTAAGTGTTCATTTGGGGTCGGCTTCTGCCGTGCTCCTCCGCTCCTCCCCTTCTTCCCCTAGTTCCCCGCTCTGCTCCTCCTCCAGCGCCCCAACAGCTGGGGAAACAGCCCAGGAAGCTGATCCTGCAGCCCTTCTCAGCTGCCCTGCTCCCAGGCAGCTGCACTGGCCTCTGGCCTTCGATTTCTTCCACTTCAGAGTCCCCTGGATTTGCCTTGGGTGAGCTGGAGGTCTGGAGCTGCATCCTCACGGGGCCCCTCAGGGCAGAGTGTTCTGTGATGTGTGTGTCAGTGCCCATCAGTTCATCAGTTTCCTGAGCCCCTCGATGAGCACGATGCTCCGAGTCCGTCCAAACTTGTGATCTTGCTACATGAGCCACCCAGACCAGTTCCCCCGACTACTGCCTGCCTCAGTCAGGGTCCTGGGTGCCTGTGGCCCAGTGTGCAGCACCGGCTCAGCTGTAGGGTGGGAGTTTCTGGCCTGCGGACCCTTGAAGGCTTGTATCTGCCATGGTGGCAGAAATGAGATTTGTCCTCAGGCCACATAGGTCCAGAGTTCATGGTTTACAAGTCACAGCAAGGGCCCTGAGGGTCAGTGTAGGGATTTGGGTCACCCGAGGGAAAGAGAGAGAGTGAAGCGGGGGCTCCTGGAACCTGGGAAATGGGGTGTTGGTGGCCAAGATGGAGCCCAGCCCCACTGCTGGTCCAGCGCTCCTTTCTCAGGGAGCCTCAGCCTGGCCCAGGGGCTGTCACTGTCATAGGGAGGGAGGGACAGCAGGCGCCTGTGCCAGTGGGACCCAGGGCCGGACTCCCATGTGGAGGGAGAGCCTGTCTCCCGCTGTGGGGCTGGGAAACCTGGGGAACCTGGCCCCAGGGACGGTCCCCGCAGCAGTGGCACAGATGCCTGCTTTTCCTCACTAGGCCCAGGGGCCAGGCCCCCACACTTTACAGAGGCCCCAGGGCCCTTCCTGCCCAGGTCACCTTCCTCCCTGGCTCCTTCACGCTCCCTCTTGGGACCAGCACCCACCATGGCCCCATTTTCTTCCTGTTCTCACTTCCACAGGGGCCTCACTCCTACTTGACCTAAGGTCCCAGGGGCTCCTACCTACACCCCAAGGCGGGAGACTTGCTGGCCTGATGCACCAGTGATGGCACCAGTCCCAGAGGGAGCAGCTGAACAAGGGACAGGGTCCTGGGCCCAAGCTCCCCTGCAGGAGACTATCTGTGGCTTCACCACGAACCTGAACACCAGCTTCTCCTGCTGCCCTGTGGCCACTCAGGGAACAGAAAACGTGTATCTGTGCGGATTTTAGAACACATTTTGCACCCCGCGCCTGACTTGTGCCGGTGTCACGCCATCGTGTGCCCAGCGGGGTCCCCGTGGTGGGAATCAGGGTCCTTCCTGGTGAGGAGGGCGCGTGGCTCTGGGCGTCTGTGCTCAGCCCTGTGGCCACACGGGGGCGCTGCGGCGCTGCTCGCGGGTCCGGCTGAGAAGCCCTGAGGAGGCTGCGTGCGGCGGGGCTGAGGGCTCCCGAGCATCCTCGCAACCCGGGCCGCAACCCGGGCCCAGGACGGGACGAGGCCCAGGCTGAAGAGGAAGCCAGCCCGGGAGCGCTGGTGCCTCCCCGAGGGTCTTGTCTCCTCCCTGCCACCCCTCCTGCCACCTCCCGACCGCAACACCCCGGCCAGCTGCAAAGCACACGCGTTTTCATGGACTCCTTACTTCGCGGCACAGCGAAGTCAGGTTTCGGAAACTCTCCGTTCACTAAGGCTTTTAAATAAAATCACCTCTTATTAGGGAACAGCAGCCCAGTATCCACCTAATATCCCACCGTGCGCACTTCAGAGAATCAAACTGGATGACGGAAGACAGAGCAACCGTGCCTGGATTTGGACAAGAGCTTAGCGCTTCCCAGAAACTCTAGGTATTTCCCACTGCGTGTAGCACGTCAGGATAATAATCTGACAGCATCGTTCAGGGCCATCTGGTTATCAAATTTATAAGATTTTTATATCAAGTGTGAGTGTTAATAGTTGTCCATTTAATCAGCTGTGAGTCAGATTTCATCAGAATTACACAGCAGCCATTGAAAAGACTGAAAAACAAGTAGAAGGTTGAACAAACCCCAGGTTTTGAAACTTAGTTTTCCTGAGTAATCAAAACCTGATGAGGATAACAGTAACCACAAGAAATTTTTGTGGTAAAACACAAAATCTTTTTCTTTTAAGGTAGTTCCTCATAAATATTAAGAAGAGGTGAAAGACATTGTAAGACCACTCCGTGTTTTACTTTTCTTATGTCAGATTAAATGCTTATTGCATTGTTTTTTGTTTGTTTGTTTTTTTGGGTTTTTGTGGTTTTTTTGCTTATTTCATTGTTAATAGTCTCTCTCCTCTGGAAGATAAACTTCTGCAGGACAAGAGCAGAAATTTTGACTGCAGCAGCTGTATCTCCATTGCCCTGAAGTGTTCCTTCTTGTGGGTTTTAAAATATTTGCGGAAGACTGAATGCATGCATACCCATCCTCAGAATGACACACTCACTCGGGCAACAGTCTGCTCTTGGGAACAGAGTCACCCACAGATCCGCAGGCAAAGGCCTGGGCCCCAGGAGGGGCAGGACGGGCTATGCTGTGGGCCTTCAGAAGTGGGCCCAGGGCCAGCCCAGCCCAGCCTCTGCCTGCGCCCACCAGGACCACCCTCTGGTGTCCTTCCCTTCTTGGCTCTGTCCCCTGGGTCCCAGGGCCTGCACTATCACCTCACAGGCTCTCCACAGCCCTGCTCAGTTCCCCTCATGCCCTGTTCCCAGCTCCTGCATCCTCCCTCTCTCAGGGCACTCAGTGCCTGGGGATCACAGGACCTGAGCCCCAGCCTCTCTGCTTCCTGGCTGTGCTGGGCCCCAGGATTCCTCAGTTCATGGAAGACTATGCTGCCTGCTGTGGGTCTAATTATTTTAGTCCCTTGTCACATTTGCTTTATGTATGTCAAGAAATTATATTTCTATAATTTTTGTTGTAATATTTGAAAATCAATGTTAATATTGAGGCCATCTTTCCTAAATCCTTCAGTACACATCTCTTTTAAAAATGAGATTTAGGGGCCAGGGATTTAGCTCAGTGGCTTTGCCGCCTGCTGTGCAAGTGCAAGGACCCCAGTTCGATCCCTGGTACCAAAAAAGGAGATTGAAAGAATTTTATTATGACACGAACGAAAATCACCATAGTTGTGTAGCACTGTTCATGTCCAAGTAATGTACATCTTCTTAACCAGTCCCCACATGCCCTCCCTGGGAGCTGAGGTCAGGAGCCCTCGGCCTCTCTGCGCCCCCCTCTCTGCCCGCCAGGTCCCCTCGGCCCCTCCACAGCAACACCTGGGAGAGCTGAGTGGGGGCTTTTCCTCCGCTTACTGTCTCTTTGGTTTGGAGACTAGATTTTAAATGCTGTCCATTTATCACCCACTCTCTTCAGTCATTCTTTCTGCAGGAGGATGGCATCTCCATGTTGTTTCAACTCGTATTTCTCATTGCAGAGATGTTGGATATTTTTCATGTATTTACTGGCCACTTGTACTTCTGAGAAGTGCCTCTCCATTTCACTCGATGGATTCCTTTGGGAGGGACCAGTTCCGTGGTGTTCTTTACGCTAGATGTCTGCCCTCTCCAGGGAATAGCTACAGAACATTTTCCCATCCCTCGGGCTGTCACTTCACTCTGTTCTTTGCTTCCTTTGCTGTGCAGAAAGATTTTAACTGGATGCCACCCCATTTGTTGATTCTCATTGTTATAGGTTGTGCAATTCAGGTTCTTTTAAAATAGTCCTTGCCTGTGTCTATGTCTTCAAGAGTTTTACCTATTTTATCTTCCAGCAGATGAAATGTTTCTGTTTCAACATTTAGATAGTTGGTCCATATTGATTTTGTCTCGGCACGTGGTGAGATATATGGGTCTAGACTCACGTGCACATCTTGGTATGTAGTTCGGGTTGAGGCTGGCTTTGAACTCACCATGTAGTCCAGGCTGGCCTCGATCTCATGGTGCTCCTCCTGCCTCAGCCTGTCCAGTGCTAGGATGACAGGCATCAGCACCATGTCCACTTTCCTCCAGCATATGTTTTTGGCCCTTGTCAAAGATCAGAAAAGTTGGGCTGGGGATTTAGCTCAGTGGTTTCCCCACCTGCTGCATAAGCGTAAGGACCCGAGTTTGATCCCCGGTACCAAAAAAAAAAAAAAAAAAAAAAAGATCAGAAAAGTGAATGTACCTGGTGTTCTTTCTGTATCCTCTATTCTGTTCCATCTTCCTACTGTTTTGAGAGAGACAGCAAGGTAGAGAGCACAGCCTTCGGGGTGCAGAGAGGCCCCGCGTGCGCACCGCGGCCCAGGACGAGCTCGCTCCGCCGCTGTGTCCCGGGCGCGGCGTCTTCAGGGGCGTCCGGGCCGGGGAGGAGTCGGGGACGTGGCGGAGGGTCCGGGCCGCGAGCAGGAGGACAGGGCTGGGCCGCGCTTTCCTCTCCGGCCTCTGCAGGACTCAGGACTCGGGAGGCCGAGTGACAGAGCGCTCGGGGCGGGAGGAGAGGGTCAGGGCAGAGCCCCCGGTCGGGTCGGCAGCACCGGCTGTGACGTAGGCCCTGGCAGCTCTGCCACACCGGGCTCCACCCACTTGCGCTGTGTGATCAGAGCGGTCGGGTGCGGACGTTCATCACCGGGGAGCCCGCCTCTGCCTGGGTTTCACTTCTGCCTCTGCCAAGCCGTGTCGGGTCTTTCTGCCTGGACACTCGTGACGCGGGCCCGCTTACCACGCCCATTGGTTGCGGGCTCCTACAGCAGCCAATCAGCGCCGCCGCGGTTCCCGTTATAAAGTCCCCACAGAGCGCCAGCCTGAGTCCCGCAACCTGAGGATGGGGGTGATGGCACCCCGAGCCCTGCTCCTGCTGCTCTCGGGGGTCCTGGTCCTGCCCGAGACCCGGGCCGGTGAGCGCGGGCGGAGGGAGGCGGGGAGGAGCGAGGGCCGGCGCGGGCCGAGGTCGCGGTCTCACTGCCCGCCCCGCAGGCTCCCACTCGATGCGCTACTTCGACATCGCGGTGTCCCGGCCCGGCCAAGGGGAGCCCCGCTTCATGTCCGTGGGCTACGTGGACGACACGCAGTTCGTGCGCTTCGACAGCGACGCCGCGAGCCCGAGGGTGGAGCCGCGGGCGGCGTGGATGGAGCGGGTGGACCAGGCGTATTGGGACCGGGAGACACGGAGAGCCAAGGGCAACGCACAGGTTTACCGAGTGAACCTGCAGACCGCGCTCCGCTACTACAACCAGACCGAGGCCGGTGAGTGAGCCCGGCCGGGTCAGAAGTCACGGCCCTGCCCGTCCCCACCGACGGGGTCCGAGGTTCAGGCGCAGACCCCAGTCCCGGAAGAGCGCGGGGAAGCGACCGGGTTTCGTTTTCAGTTCGGGTGAAA